GAGAATAATCGTATTTAAGTAAGACATTATTAAAAAGCCTTAACGAATAAAAGTTAAAAATATTGGAAAAATATTGGACAGTTATACTCATTTAGTATGTTCCCACTGCCTTCGTTAAAGCAGTTTATTTGATTAAGGTCGAAAACAATCATACAAAGAGCTTTCGTGCTTTTTAGCTTAGTTAAAAATAAATCAAGGAAAATTCCACCAAAAATGTCAAATTCAATTTTGAAAAATATATTTCCCAAAAGGGAAATTATCAAAATGTAATATATTTGAAACTGCCTTCGTTAAAGCAGTTTATTTGATTAAGGTTGCAAATAGAACTTGATTAACCATACACAGATCTTTCGTGCTTTTTAACTTAGTTAAAAATAAATCAAGGGATATTACTCCCAAGTTGTAGAATACAGCATTGCAAAATATATTTCCCAAAAGGGAAATTATCAAAATTTAACGTATTTGACACATAAAAGATAATATAAATAAATAAAAAAAAACAGTACATAGGTTAAAAGTTTTTAAAATGATTCTTTTTTATAAATAAAATATTTTATAGATATATAAAAATACTGAATTTATATATTAAATATATATTTGATATCATTATACAGTAACATAGATTATTTAATAAAAAATATTCATTTCAATCAGATATCAACTAAAATGTAAACGAGCAAAAGCTCTTCTAGAATTTTCTGACATATAAAAGATTTTCCAAATGCATAAATCAACTTTTGCGAATGGAAACGACCTAATCTTAATTTTATCAACATAAATTGATTTAGCTGCATTGTGAACATGGTATTAAATTTCTGACAATAGTTAAAAGACTACCCAGTAATATATTTAAATGTGCTTCACATTATGCACTGACAAAGCGCAATGTTCTCCTTGCCAATCTGCTAACATACTTTATAGCACAGTTACCTATTAGGGTTGCCTGAAGTTGATATCCCCAGGGTTTTGAATGTCTCAACGGCCTGTAGAAAAACGCACGTTATGCATATTTTTCTTAATTTTTGGTGACAAGATGAAGTCTTTGAGTTCCAAGTCGATACTGTAAGATGAATAATCCATCATTTCGACGTTTCCTGAGCTCAAAAGCTCTTTTTTTTTTGGCCTGATATGTGTGAGATCGCATTGTCGTGGTGGACGCTAATCTCCCCTCGACTGTTCGTTTTCTTCAATTCTCCAATTCTCTCTTTTGTTCAGGAGTGCCCAAATACAAACGCGGTCAAGAGTATTCTTGTCGCAACGTTCTCTTCCTACTATGGGTCGAATTCAGGCAATTACTGTACCTTTTAAAATTTCATCAGGTAAGACAATTAAGAAGCCATCGAATCTTGTTTGATAATCCAACAGTAACATCAACAGTTTCCTGAAAAGAAAATTAATCCAATATAATCGCTTACTAATTATTTAAGAAAACGTTTCAATTCAAGCTTAGAATATTTTTTTAGTACTAGCATAGATATAAAATTTCCATACGCAAACTGCTTCAAACGGCTTGGTTTTAAATTCCATAAAAACCTTAAATTTCTTTCAAATTAAAGTGACTTGCACTGCATTGAGATACTCAACAACTGAACAATCGTCCTTTACAACTGAAATGTAGTCGAAGCCATAAAAAACTGCAATTGCAATGGAACGACAATGTATGTTAGTGTCATGCATGAATACACTGAGTTATTGTAAATCGTTTTTGAGTAGACAAACCATTTAGATTTTGATCAATTGATTGGAAAATCCGTAATACAACTTCTGTGCTTACTGCAGGCTAATTTTTAAATTGCTTTGGAACGATGGCAACTTCTAAATTGAAAATTTTCAAATTGACATAAAAATTATGATGTAAAATGTGATATGAACAATGAGAATATGAAATTAACAATTTTCACAAATAGATAGATAAATAAATATATGCTATCGTAATTTAATCCATTGCAACTTACTCTCAGACAAATATACATAGAGAGTATCTATGTCTGCAAGTATTACATTACCTCCGCAAAGCTATCAATCCTCAATTCTCCATATATGTATGGAGTGATTTCTTAGAACAAGGGGAGAAAATAGTCATAATGAGCAGGGGGGCTCCATTTTTAATGCTAGCCAACCTAAAATGTATCAAAGGAAACTTTACACAATAAATATCAACAACTTATCATATATATCCAAGGAATGAACCATCCTTAAATATAGCAGAAAGATTATGGAGAAGAGGCCGGCCAAAAGGGATAAGTTTGTTCAAAATTATTAAAAAAGTACTTAATGTCCGCCTACGAGGGATGTCCCTTAATAGAGAGAGAGAGACAGAGAGGGTGTGACACATATGTCGTTAACCCACTCAGTTTTTTATAAGTGATTCAAAGTTACTATAATTAATATAATTTTACTGACTACATTTGTCTTAAAATTTTCAAATGATTAGTTAACCCAATTCTGGCATGTCTTTATTATTCCCAAAACAAGAATTAGCTGTGCATGAGGAGTGTGCTTATAAGTGGTTTTACGGTTTTTTTTGGATGTGACCTATTTGTCGTCGAGCCACTTCACTCTTAGTTAAATATATTAGATTTTTATGTAAATGTATATACATATATTATGCTTTTTGAACTCTTTGTTACTCTGTGAACCTAGAAAATTCTATAAGATTAGAGGACAACATTTGCATATTTTGTGTTATTATTAAAAACAAAACGCATAAACAGCAGCTGTACGAGTTAAGTTAATCATTGTGAATTTATGGTTTTTTAGTATAATTTGGTTATAGTACGATTATTTCAAATTTATAAATCGTATATGAAATAATAAACACTTTGTATTGCAAAACCTCAAACGTAAGTTCATATGGAACCGGGCCCGTGGCCAGAAAGTTACTTCGTGGAAGTTTTAAGGTGAAATACTAGATCTACTTATGTTGACCATTCAATCACGAATAGTCATATATATGCATTTTATGCTTTGATTCATTTCTAATTGGGTACTTCTCTCGTTTTCGCAGAGTTATAGGCTAACTAAACCAGTATGGAACCATCAAATTTACTTAGTTTAGCAGTAGCTAATAGTTTGTTCAAACATATTGTCCAATATTATCTAGTTTTCAATTCTTATTTCTTAATAATAAATAAACATTATTTTTTTAAATTTTGAGTTCTTTAAACATATATAGGTCCCATAAACAAAAAACTTACTATTTCATTATTAATTTCCATTCATTATTTTTCCTAAGAACATATTATTGAAACATTATTGATGCTCATTCTCATTTTCCAAACAACACAAACATATCAACTTTATACATTTAAACAGGCGTATAAATTTTTTCCAAGAACAATTCTGGAACTCTTATTAGAGAATCCATAAACTACATGTAAATAATTATGGCATATACATAATATCTTAATCTGATCTGTTTTAGATACCTTCATTCTTACAATTGTTTCAAACAAAAGCCATTTTTTCAGTCATTACTATTGCTTTTTATAATTTTTTCAAATAGGTCTCGATAGTAGATACGAGGGGCAATAGTAATCTCGCCTAAGGCACTAGAAGCGCTAAAACCAGGACTCAATTTATGTGACGTTTTTGAAAAAGCTATTAGACTTTTGTTTCCAATTTATTGTCACAAGAATTATTTTTTTGTACTTTATTTTTAATAACAAAGTACATTGCAATAGTAATTGTTGTAATTAATTAGTTTATGACGTTCAGAGTATATGATCTGATCATGATTATTACAATTTATAAATTGTTATTATTATTATAGCTATAATATATTTATTATTTCTGTTTACTTATTGTAAATCAATTCTTTTTAAAACAGATAATATGTAAACAAAATAGCAATTTCCCACGATAACAGCAATTCTGATATATAATCTTATATCTGGAAATAAAATAAAACAGAATGGGTATCATTTTACATTGCATGTATATTTTTTTTATAACAAACACTATTTTCTTGTTAAATTATTGTAAAATCAAAGTCCGTCTTCTTTGCAATTAATCTGTAGTCCGTTAGTCTGTTTATGTTCTTATATTACAAATAATTCAAGGACATTATAATAACAAAACTAATATATTTATATGTTTAGTAAAATAATAAATTTGTAAAAAATAGTAAAATATGATTATAAAAACAAAATTACAAAATATATACAACTGGATTCAATAAGTACGTTTATGCAATAAACTTATGTACAAATATTTTTAAACAAATAATAAATTTATATTACCTTACATTAAGTGTTTCGAATTAGTCTCTAACTATTTTAATTGCTTTCTTATTTATTTTTAATACATTGTTTTTAAAGTTTTATTTTGCTTGCAAAATATTTGGAAAATTTAAATTTAATGTATAAATAATATAAATTAATATAAAATCTACTAAACTAATTAAAATATAATATTTTAATAATATAAATAATCATATAACTTAACGTAGTGTTACATAAATTAAATTATAATCTCTTTAAATATATAAATTAATATTATATTATCTTAAACAAATAAATTAAAATATAATCTTTTAAACACATTAAATAATATCTATTACATATATAATTTAATACATAAACTATTATAAAAACATAAACATATCAATTAATATATAATCTCTTTAACTTATTAATTGATATATAACTTATTGAAAATATAAATTTACAAATATAAAATCTATATATTTATATTTGTTTTGTGTTATAAAATATATAACATTTTAAGTAGTATAAAAGTTTATAAATATATATAGTCATTTTTATATAACATATATACTACTTTTATATAATATGTACATATATTTATATAATATATATTGAGCTCTTACTACGTACACATTAAGACTAGATTGTTAACATTTACATAGCATAATTTCCAACAAAGAAATTAATTAAATAAATATATTGATTTCTTAGAAATGTGTTTAAGAATGCTAAAAATATTAAACATTATTTTAAAAGATTATAAAACACAATAAAAAACTGCTTACTTAAAAACTACTTCTTATACTTATAATTATAAATAATACTTAATAGCATCTACTAAGTAATAGGGAGACAAATTAAACCATTTTAAACTTTCTTAAATATAGTTTTCTTTAACAGTATGCTATGCGCTGCTGGAACGTTTGAGTTATTACTTAAAAGCGTCGAAGGCTTTGGCGTTACTGTTGCTAACACTGGCATGGAACTTGTGTTTGAAGACACAAGTTTAATATTCATTCCGTTTGACTTAAGTTTATTAATTATTTCTAATGTTTGAGCGGATGCTTTTCCTTCGGGTTTGGTTGAGTTTTTGGTATCTATTTTAGTGGTGCGTTTAACTTTTAAGCCTAAGGTTTGTAATTTGTTTAAAATTTGTTCAGTTTCTTTTTGTTTTCCTTGGTTTCCACTTGTGGCACTTGTGACTGTGTTAGTTTTAATGAGATTCTTATTTGAAGTTGGTGTGCTCAATTGAATGGATTTATTTTGGGTTTGCTTTTTGTTCAAATTGGATTCTTCTTGAAAAGTACCCACTTGATACGTTTCAAGTTTACTGACTGTATTCGTTCCTACTTTGAACTCTTCAATAGTTTTACATTTCACACCTGCTGAAGTATTATTTTCAATTTTACGACGCTTTGGAATTGGTGATAACTGATATGACAATGTACTACTAACAGTTTCTGTTTTTTCCTTTGCTGTTGGTAATATCTTATTCGAATTTTTAGCGTTAGCTGGTACTGAAATACGATAACGTTGGTTTATAGCTTGTGTTCCTGATTTATTAAAATTGGATTTAGCATTATTTGTGGATACTACAGTTTTTACAATAGGTGCACTTGTTGTTGCATTTGATTTTACTGTGCCTGCACCTTCTTTCGGACAAACCTTAACATCTGGCGCCACCTGTAACACTTCTAAAAACGGTGATGGCTTTGGCTTTTCTGGTACTACCATAGGTGGTTTATCCAAAACTAAACGTCTCTTTGCACGTTTGTCCACTGGTGTTATTTTCGATTCCACCAAATTTGACTTAGCAACCTGCATTTGTTTACCAGATGGATTTTTTTGTGGTAGAGTTGGTAATTTTTTATTCTTTGTTGCAATACACGTCGATGTGTTATTTTTAACATTTTCTTTAAATTGCACAAAAGGTGTTACTTCTTGTACAAGCTCACTGTATTTTTTTGGGTCTCTTGTGCATTGATTATTATTCTGCGTTGATGTGGGTAGCTCACTATACCAGCGTGAATCATGTAATTCCTCGTCGATATCAATAAGCGCCATTAAATTGTCACAATTGCCATTGCTTGTTACTGCGTACGTTGTTTCATTGTTCAGTTTTTGTACGTCTTGGTAGTTGTATATAAATAGCTAGAACAAAAATGTTTCTTAGAAATGCATCTACTTTAGAATTTCATAAGTTACCTCATTTACACCATTATCTGTTTTTTGAAACAAATGTTCACTCTTCTTACTATTATAGATTAATTTTAAATTTGTTTGAAAAAAACGTTCAAGTCCTGAACATTCTTCCAAATGCACACGAAATTTATTGATGCTATCGAAGTCTTTATGACAATTTGTACATAATATAAAAAGTTCACCATTTTGGTTCATTAAAACTCTACCGAAATAGATACAATGTTGCGTTTGCAACATTTTAATAAATAATATAATTAATATTGTTATTCAAATACACTTGATTCAAACAATTGCAACTGATAGATAATTTTGTGTTTACAATATTTGAGAGAGCGACGCTACATATTTTAGTTAGCCGCTGTAATAATAAATCAGCTGTTCAGGTTGTGTTCCTTATTATAGCTCTTTTACAATCAGGGGTTGTAAATTGTGCAATGAACATGGACTTTTTTTATGTCATTATTTACAATAAATATATTCATAAATAAAATATAAATACATTTATGGTATATTTATTAGTTTTTAAATAAAATATTTATTAAATAAATTTTAAGCGATAAAAAATTAACCAGAATTGACAAAAATGACATTGCCTTATGCTTTATTTTACAATAAGACTTGGTACTAGAAATGTTCTCACTAAAGTCGGTACTTAGGAGATAGATAAATAGTACTTAGTAATTAAAAAAATTTAAAAAATATCATTTCCGACATAATTTTGTATAATTAAAAAATAAAAGTTTAGCATCTGTATGTTTATAGCCGCATAACTTGAAAAGTAACCAATGGGTTGACTTGAAATTTTTGGATAACGTTACATTTCTATATAAGATTATTTTTATGTACTTTTTATTTTGAAATTCTCATTAAATGTTTAGTTTTTAACAGTAAACATTAAATATATAACACATCTTTTTCACACATATTTTTTTATTATCAAAATTTTCTTGAATTTTTTTATGATATATTTTCTCTGTATATCTACAGACATATGAATGTATGTCCATTAAAATACTATTAGGAAGGTTTAGAAACAAAATTAGTTTATTTATTAAAAATAATAATTTGTATATAAAGTTTTATATTAGTGCTTCGAAGCAATGACCATCTTACTGAATATTCGAATTCGAACATTTGAATCGAAGTCTTCAAATATTCTAGTCTTTATATATATTAATACAATAATATATTTTATTATATTAAATAAAATATTTCATAAAGTATAACGTATTATTAAATACATCATATCATATTAATGATATTTATGCTCGATGATATTTAATTTAATTTATTTTCGTTTTGTTTAATACAAATATGCATCATAACAAATGCTCCACCAACATATGATGTTCGAACATATTCGAACGGTTCGATGTGGTCGAATAAAATAGTTGAAGGTTTATAATTCGAAGCTCAAATTATATTTAAAGCACTAATTCTCTACAAACTTGGCCAAGTTCCTAGATTTGCAAGAAAACTATCAGGTTGGTAAGAAGGATGCCCGAAAGATTTTTAATCTATTCGTTCGACATAATTGGACTCTGACAATGTATGTAAAACATAATTGGACTCTGACAATGTATGTAAAACACGGACTCCTCTTATTTTTAAAAACCACAATCACGACAAATGTCTTAACAGGGTAGGTTCATTCCCTAGCAGGTCTTGTAAGTAGGTAGTTACTTATCGCTTTAGTTAAAGTAGCTGACTTTTACATTTATTGTCCAAATTGTACCTGATCGATCTTGATGCCCGACAGAAGCTTTCATGTGCCTTACATGAAAGTTTGAAAATATTTTTTAGCCATATTCGAGATATTTTTGTTTATTTTCTAGCTTAAATCTTCTAAACGGGATACTAATATCCGAAAAATAAATGTCAGAAAACAGTCGTTTTGGCAAGCTTATCGGCCCTACTGTTGTCCGAGATCTCTCTGTGTCCAGGCAACTATATGAGTTTGAAGTTGACAAACCTGGCCAGCATTTTCGAACTGTTTCGAAGGATACAACTATAGCTCAGATATGATAGAACTTTTGTTATCTAAAAATACTACGATATTTACATCGGGAAATTTGTGGATTCTATAGATTTTTATAGTTTAAGCTTTTTATAAAACACACAATTTGTTTATATATTTTTATTAAAAACATATGCTTTATAAATAAATGCTTATATTTATAAATATAAACATATATAAACTTAACATATAAAAATATTTAATTATTCAAATATTTAACCAAAATATGACTCTTCTCTTTACAAATTCGCAAAAAGTTAACTATTTTATTGTTTTTATTTTTTTTTGGTAAAACGGGGACCACCAAAGTTTTTGCCTTTATTGAACTTATTTCCTCCTGCTTTATTTGTTAATTTTACTGAACTGGTCTTCTTTTTCGCTTTAACCTTCGACATCTTCTTATGACGATTTGCCTCAGACCTTAAAAAAATATAGAATATATATTTATATATATTATAGTTAGTTACTTTGCAATTCAATTCTTTACGAACATTTTTTTCTTCTGCTTAAATCTAAGTTATAGCTTAAATGTTGTCAACTTTATATATTATAAACAAATATAATGTATAATTATACAATATATTTAACATTGCCTACCTTAATCGTAGTGCACCACTACGACTCACGTCTGTTAAATCATTTGTGAATGCTGACTGACCACCACGTGCTTTATTTTTATTTCTAGACTTTTGTGAGAATGTGGGAGTTTCGACAACTGAACTCAATTTACCGGGCCGTGTACGTATTTTCGCTAATTTGGCACGAACCAATGAAACTTTTTCAATTTCTCTCATAGCTCTTTCTTTTGCCAACTGTTCGGGTGTTTTTTTTCTAGGCTCCTCTTTCTTTTTCTTTTTTGCATTGAGTTCTTTCACTGGTGGACCATCTTCACCATCTCCACCATATTCTGCACGTTTTCTTTTTCCACCTTTAGTACCTTTTTCAGTAATCTTTTTCGCTGATTGTTCTTCAAGTGCTAAACGTGCCTTCTCTTCTTCCCTTTGCTTTCTGGTTTGGAACCACTGACGGAATTCTGGTTTATCGCCCATTAACTTTCGTTCTGTTTTTGAAAGTTGCTGCTCCATTTTTGCAATTTGACGTTCAGCTTGCTCTTCATCAAGTATATTCTCTAAATAAAAAATAAATTTACAATTATGAATTGTAATAACTAAATATTTAAGGAATTTATGGTGACTTACGTATCTCTGGCTCTAGTTCTGTAAGTTTTCTGCGATACTTCTCAATTATTTCTGGTGGAATTATTCTATTCTTAACAGAATTTTCTGCATTTTTAATAATATCCTTTACAATTTTACGTTCCTTTTCACCTGCTAACGACACCGATATACCAGCACGTCCAGCACGTGCTGTACGACCCACACGATGTATATAATGTTCGGTGGTTATAGGCATTACAAAGTTAATAACTGTTTTTACACCCACAATATCTAAACCACGCGCAGCGACATCCGTAGCAATCAGCACATCTATTTGCTCATCTTTAAACTTTTTTAGTGATTCCAAACGCTGTTGTTGTGTCAGATTACCATGTAGTTCACCAGCACGTATTCCCAGTAGGCCGAGTAATATATGCAACCGATGTGCTTGTTTCTTCGTTTGCACAAAGATCATGCAGTGATCGTGAAAGGTACGACATATTAAACTTGCCAATATTGGTTCGCGATCACCTTCTTTATCTTCTCTAATGCGTATAAATTCCTGGCGCAAATTGAATGCAACTTGCTGGTTATTGTTTACGAAAACCTTAACTGGTTTCACGAGAGACACAGCTGCAAGATCTTTAACCTGTTCACTCATTGTGGCAGAGAAAAGCATTGTTTGACGTGTCTTAGAACAAGAATTTATAATTTCTTTCATTTGTTCAGCAAAATATTCATCCAACATACGATCAGCTTCATCAAGTATAAGCACCTAATAATATAAGTTTTATTAATAATGCTTAAAATAATATGTATAGAAAAAAGTATGCAGTATATATCAGGTTATTCCTCCTACGAGGAATAACAGCGCTAAGCATCCTCACATTGCTAAACAAACCAGGTTCAAAAAATGAATAAGTTTGATAGCTTCAGAGCGCAAGGTTTATCTTCACGTGTATTTTTTAATATTTTAGAAAAATAAATGCTGTAATGTTATTACCTCAATTGAATCCAAACTAAAACTTGGCGTATTCTTAATATGATCAATCAAACGACCAGGTGTAGCAATAACTATATCAGGATTCTGACGCAATATAATTTCTTGTGCTTTTACATCTAAACCACCAATAGCTAAACCGACATCAATGGTAGTAAATTGGCATAATTGCTTCGTAACTTGGTAGACTTGTGCACCCAATTCACGCGTGGGTACAAGCACAAGCACACGTGTTATCGTTTTATTATTCATTGGACGATAGAGTAAACGTTCAAGTGTTGGTAGCATATAAGCCGCTGTTTTACCCGTACCTGTTGCAGCGCAACCACATATATCTCGTCCGAGTAATGCAATTGGTATTGTGGAAGCTTGTATAGGTGTAGGATAAATATAGCCAAGTACACCTATTGCACGCATTAATGGTCGTGATAAATTCATTTGATAGAATGAAGTAATGGTTTCATTGTTATCAATGCTCTCTTCAAATTGCATTTTTTCACCCTCATCTTCTTCAACATCGCTTCCAGTCTTCTTCTTCTTCTTTTTAATTTGTTTCTTTTCACGTAAACGTAAATTATCATGCTTCAATTCGTCATCTGATACGTGTATCTAAAAAGTATCCTTTAATAATAAATCATTTACTGTGTTTAGTAGTTTTACCTCGTCATCGCTCTCCTCTTCACTTTGTTGTCCATTAGTGCCACGACTTTTCAAGCGTTCAGCAATTTTGTCATCTGTTTTTGTTCTTGCCTTACGTTTGACATATTTCATTAAATCATCCCAGGTGTCCTGATTGTATTCCTTAAGGGAAGACACAAACTCAAAACCTTTATCAAAGTCAGTCTCTTTCTTGTGACGTTGCTTAGTTGGTTGATACTGTAAATTTACATTTATTTAATATCAATTAGTTTTAAATATTTATTTTATAGGTTATTTTAGTGACTTTGTTTATGAAATTGATTTTGCATATACCTCCACTTCAGCATCCGAGTCATCAGAAAAATTTTCTACCTCGGCATCTTCTTCGATTGTTCCTATTAAATCTATAGATTTTGTTTCCACCATTGTTCAATTTTAATAATTATTTATAATGGCACAAAACAATCAATCCGCTTTACGTTTCAAAATGTGCCTTCACGTGGTAATGAAGAAATGTTTAGAATGAGAAATAAAGAAAACATCAAAAAATGAACAATACCACGTTGATATAGATGAAACACTTTATAATAAATTTGAAGATTCAAATAAAATTAGTTAAACGTAGGACGTGTGCG